CTCTCTCTCTCTCTCTCTCTCTCTCTCTCTCTCTCTCTCTGCCCCTGGCAGTGTCTGGCGACTAGGAGGCCCGGGTCGACTCCTCTTTGGGAAGCCAAAATGCTGCCCCTGGCAGCGTTTGGTGACTATGAAGCCCCTGGTGGACCCCCCCTGGGGCTCCCAAGTGATGCCCCTGGCAGCGTTTTGTGACCATGAGGCTCTCAAGAGATACATGTTGGGGACGCCAAACGGCAATTCTAGCTGAGACGTCCCACCAAAATCGGCGCGAACGGGCTCGTGAGATCAGCCAGGGTGGCTCCCCCTTGGGGCTCCCAAATGATGCCCCTGGCAGCGTTTTGTGACCATGAGGCTCTCAAGAGATACATGTTGGGGAGGCCAAACGGCAATTCTAGCTGAGACGTCCCACCAAAATCGGCGCGAACGGGCTCGTGAGATCAGCCAGGGTGGCTCCCCCTTGGGGCTCCCAAATGATGCCCCTGGCAGCGTTTTGTGACCATGAGGCTCTCAAGAGAGACATGTTGGGGAGGCCAAACGGCAATTTTAGCTGAGACGTCCCACCAAAATCGGCGCGAACGGGCTCGTGATATCAGCCAGGGTGGCTCCCCCTTGGGGCTCCCAAATGATGCCCCTGGCAGCGTTTTGCGACCATGAGGCTCTCAAGAGAGACATGTTGGGGAGGCCAAACGGCAATTTTAGCTGAGACGTCCCACCAAAATCGGCGCGAACGGGCTCGTGAGATCAGCCAGGGTGGCTCCCCCTTGGGGCTCCCAAATGATGCCCCTGGCAGCGTTTTGTGACCATGAGGCTCTCAAGAGAGACATGTTGGGGAGGCCAAACGGCAATTTTAGCTGAGACGTCCCACCAAAATCGGCGCGAACGGGCTCGTGAGATCAGCCAGGGTGGCTCCCCCTTGGGGCTCCCAAATGATGCCCCTGGCAGCGTTTTGTGACCATGAGGCTCTCAAGAGAGACATGTTGGGGAGGCCAAACGGCAATTTTAGCTGAGACGTCCCACCAAAATCGGCGCGAACGGGCTCGTGATATCAGCCAGGGTGGCTCCCCCTTGGGGCTCCCAAATGATGCCCCTGGCAGCGTTTTGTGACCATGAGGCTCTCAAGAGAGACATGTTGGGGAGGCCAAACGGCAATTTTAGCTGAGACGTCCCACCAAAATCGGCGCGAGCGGGCTCGTGAGATCAGCCAGGGTGGCTCCCCCTTGGGGCTCCCAAATGGTGCCCCTGGCAGCGTTTTGTGATCATGAGAGAGTGTGAATGTGAGTGAATGTGACTGTGAGTGAGTCTGAGTGAGAGTGAGTCTCATCTTATCTTATCGAGTCCTATCTTATCGAGTCCTTGTCATATATCTTATCTTACCTTATCATATATTGTGCTATCTTATCTTATCTTGTAGTATCTTATCTTGTCTTGTCTTATCTGGTGATTATCATTGGGAGGGGGGAGGCGCGAGCGGGAGGAAGGAGGAGCAGTGGGAGGCGTCAGAGTAATAACAAGAACCCCAATCCTTAGGATATGGGGAACAAATAGCATACATAACTTCGCAGGCCATGGGTTCTTGAGGCCGTTCGGGCTCAATGAGCTCTCCAAGCCCACGGGCCCGATGAGGCCTCTAGGCGCAAGGCATTCAATCGAACTCCTGGGCCCCATGGACCTTGAGAGTCTGCAAAGTTCCTGGCCGCTGCTTCCGAGCCCAGCTCGTCCCGCGAAGCTCTTGGTTGACGAAGTAGGTTAGGACGTCGTCGAGCAGCTGACTTGGGCATGGGTTTTCTAGTCCCCGTCCTCTAAGCAATTCCTCCTCGTCCCTCCTCCTCCCCCCTCCTCCTCCTCCTCCTCCTCCTCCTCCTCCTCCTCCTCCTCCTCCTCCTCCTCCTCCCCTCCTCCTCCTCCTCCTCCTCCTCCTCCTCCTCCTCCTCCTCCTCCTCCTCCTCCTCTCCTCCTCCCCTCCTCCTCCTCCTCCTCCTCCTCCTCCTCCTCCTGCCTCCTCCCATCCCAGTTCGTTCTACAGAGCCCTTGGCAGACGTACTACATAAGAACGTCGTAGACCAGCTTACTTGGGCATGGGCTGTCGAATCCTCATCGCCCCCACCTCCTTTTAATCCTCCTCCTCTTCCTTCTCCCACCCCCCCTCTCTTCTCCCTCCTCATCCTCCTCCTTCTTTTCCTCCTCCTCATCATCATCCCCGCCTCTTCTTTCTCATGCAATTTCTTCCTCTTCTTACCTCCTTCTCCTCGTCTCCCTTCCTCAGGCCCACGGTGGCTGACAGCCCTGCTGCTTCTTTCGGTCGTGGTTCCTCCCACAGAGCCCCTGGCAGGCGTGCTAAATAGGAGTGTCGTGGAACAGCTTGCTTGGGCATGGGTTTTCGAGTCCCCATCGTTTTGCCATTTCCTCCTCCTCCTCCTGTTCCTGTTTCTCCTCCTCTTCCTCCTCCTCTTCCTGCCTTCTCTTCCTCCCTCTCCCCTTCTCTTTTTCCTCCTCCTCCTCCTCCTCCTCCTTCCTCCTCACTCCCCCCATCATCCTGCTTCTTTCTTTTGGCATCCTTCCTTCTCTTACCTCCTTCTCCTCGTCTTCCCTCCCCGGGCCCACGGTGGTTCACTTCCTTTCTGTTTATGCCGACCTTGGCTCGTCTTACAGAGCCCTTGGCAGACGTGCTAAACAGGGACGACGTATATCAGCTTACTTGGGCATGGATTTTCGAGCCCCCATCGCATGGCCACTTTCTCTTTCTCCTCCTCCTCCTCCTCCTTCTCCCCCTCCTCCCTCTCCTCCTCCACCTTGTCCTCCTGTTCCTCCCTCCCCCTCCGCGGCTTCATCCTCATATTTCCTCCTCCTCTTCGTCTTCCCTCCGACCCACGGTGGCTTACGTCATTGCTGGTTCTTCTGATCATGGCTCGCCCTACAGACCCCCCCCCGCAGGCGCACGAAAACAAGAACATCGTACAACAGCTTACTTGGGCATGGATTTTCGGGCCCCCATCGTCTTGCCGCTCCCCCCCCCCCTCCTGTTCCCCCCCCTCCTCCTCCTGCTCCTGTTTCCCCTCTTTTTCCTCCTCGTCCTTTTCCTTCTCCTCCTCTTCCTCCTCCTCGTGCTCGTCCTCCTCCTCTTCTTCCTCTTCGTTCTACTGTTCCTCCTCCTCTTCCTCTCTCATTCCTCCTCGTCCTCGTCCTCCTCCTCCTTTTTCATTCCTCTTCTTCGTCCCCCTCATCCAGTCGTTTTTCCTCTACCTTCTCGTCCTCCTCTTTCCTCCTTCTCCTCGCCCTTCCCCCCGAAGGCTCACGGTGGCTTACGTCCTTGCTGCTTGTTCCGATCCTGGCTCGTCCTATTGACCCCCTTGAAGACGTGTTAAACAGAGACGTCGTAGAGCAGCTTACTTGGGCATGGGTTTTCGTGTCGTTCGCCTCCTCGTCGTTCTGATATCCCGTCTTCCTCCTTCCCCTCCGCCGCGTTTGGCTCAAGACTCGCCAACCACCCGCTGCCGACATCGAACCCTCCGAACCACCATGGTTAAATTGATTCATGCGCCAATCAAGAAGTGCTTGCATTGCGCAGCAAGGACGTTTAAAAGGCACGGGCAAAAATGCGTCGCTGCATCGGTCGTCGGTTCGGACAGCATTGCCGAGGTGAACACAATTCACACGCAGTGCGGGCGGCGCGGCTGCAGGGTCGTTTACCGCACGAACATCGTGTGGCACGGCCCCAAGAAATTGAACACCGTCACTTTCAACCAGATGCAGAAGCAGGGGCTTTATTTGACCAACAAGCTCGGGTTTACGATGCCGTACCTGGAACTCCAATACCTGCGCCTGATGCGCGGCCGCTTGGTGCTTGGGCAGGAGGCGGACGTCCTTCAGGTCTATCATGGGGAGGACTTAGTGTCAAAGAGCAGACGCAGTCTGAGGGATAACCTCCTCCATGCGCTTGAAGGCTTCGCCCTGGCGAAGCGCACGCCCGATGACGTGGTGCAGTTCGACGTCAACTTCCCGGCCGGCGCCTTCACCAAGGACAGGGGCCCGGTGCTCTTCTCTCCGCCCACAAGGTGCAAGTCGATCTGCTTCGACGGCTTGTTCGGGCTGAACCGTGCCGTGGACCCTGACGTCGACGGCCCGCGCCGCACCCTCGGGAAGATCAGACAGAAAACCGCGAAGAGACCGAGCGGCAAGAGGTCGGGCTCGAAGGCCGCGAAGAGCGTGGTCAAGGCGAAACCCAAGAAGAAACAGTTGTACTACAAGGACGAGGAGAGGACGGCCTCGTGCGCTGCCAAGGACAAGATCAGGCGGACGTTGACTGGCCGCGCGGGCGGGTGGCAGTTCGCCCTCGACCCTGCTACAATGCGAGTCCTCGGAGCCATGGAACACAAGGAGAATGAGTGCACGACGGACAAGATCACGTTGCTCACGGCGGTGATGGGGATGGAGAAGGTAAGCGCCGACCTCCTGATCCACGACGACATGTGCCACTTCGAGAGGTCTGCGTTGATTCGCGCGCCCGAGGCTTTCGCCGCAGTAAAATATTGGGTCATCGACAAATTCCATCGGAAGAACCGCACCTGCAGCAAGTGCACGTGGACGCACAGGGAGAAGATTCGCTGCAAGGGCGTTCCAACCAGTGCGGCCGAGGTCTTCAACGCTT